AGCTCTGTTAAAACCTTAAAAACCAAAAGCTTCACGATCACAGTTACCAGGAAAACAAGCAGCCTAGCAGCCACCGGAAGAGGCACAATGAGTTCAGAATTCCCCCAGCACTCTATCCCCAGGGAATTGTCACTATTGACCTGTCTGGAAGTTCCCTAAAAGCCTCCACTCACAGGGCTTGTTTTAATTTAACCTGACTCAGAGCTCACTCTGTCTAGAATATCCTTTCCCCGGGGTGTTTGTCCACAAAGATCAGCAGCAATCGTTTAACATTGATGCTGCCCAAGGTGGTGAAAACATTTGGAGCAAAGAAGCAGCTGAAAAAAAAACATAAAAGGAAAAGTTGGGGAATGAGATGCCCATAGGAGGACATCTTAAAAAGCTCCGGCATATTGCTGAAAATCTACAAGGCCATATGCAAGTGCAAAACTATACATGCCCAGGAAATTTATAACAGACTGTTATAAATTAAGATGTTAATTATAATCCCCAGGATTAAGCACTATGACAAGAGCCGAAATAAACATAGTAAAAGAAATTACAAGGAAGTTAAAATGGTACACTAGAAAGCATCTATTTAACACAAAAGAAGGCAGTAAAGGAGGAATTTTTTTAAATATACAATATAAAGAAAACAAACACCAAAATGGCAGACATAAATCCTATCTTACCAGTAATTACATTAAATGTAAATGGATTGAACACGCTAGTCAAAAGACTGAGATTGGCAGAATAGATTAAACACACACACACACACACACACACACACACACACAATTGAACTATATGCTTTCTGCAAGAGATAGACTTTAGTTTCAATGACACATATAGATTATAAGAAGGAAAAACGATATATCATCCAAAGAGAGCTGGAGTGGCTATACTAATATCAGATTTTTAAAAAGCCAAAATTGTCACTAAAGACAATGAAGATCATTTTATACTGATGAAAGATTCATTCCCTCGGGAAGACATAACAATTAGAAACATAATGCACCTAAAAACAGAGAGAGCCCCAAAATACATGAAGTAAATGCTGACAGAATTGGAGGGAGATATAAACAATTCAACACTAATGAGAGATTTCAATATCCCACTTTTGATAATGGCTAGAACAACTAGATATAAGAACAAAAGGAAATAGAAGACTTTAAGTATGAATCAATTAGACCCGACAGATATAGCTACAGAACACTACACAGAGTGGCAAAATACACATTCTTCTCAAGTGCATATGGAACATCCTCCAGAATAGACCATATGTTAGGCCTTTCTTAATAAATTTAGGCCTTGTCGACAAATTTAAAAGAAATGAAATGTGAACTATGTTCTCGCAATGGAAAGAAACCAGAAATTGGTAACAGAAGGAAATTTGAGAAATTCTCAAATATGTGAAAATTAAACACTACATTCCTAAATAACCAAGGGATCAACGAAAAAATCATAAGGAATATTAGAAAATACTTTGAGATGAATGAAAACAAAAATACAACATACCAAAATTGGAGTAAGTGGAGTAAAAGCAGTGTTCAGAGATAAATGTATAGCTGTAAGTATTTATATTAAAAAAGATCTCAAATTAATAACCTGACATTCCTTGTTAACACATTTGAAAAAGAAGAGTAAACCCAAAGCAAGCAGAAGAAAAATCATTATAAATATTTAATCAGAAATAAATGATATAGAGAATAGAAAAACAATAGAGAAAAATCAACAATCAAAAGTTGGTTCCTTTACAAACTCTTTCAAAAAATAGAAGAGGAGGAAACATTTCCCAACTCATTTTAAGGTCAGTATTATTACCTTACTATCAGACAAAGATATCACAAGAAAAGAAAAATACAGATCAATATTTCTTATGACTATAGATATAAAAATACTCAACCTAATACTAGCATATAAAAAAGAATTAGAAACACAATGATCAAGTGAGATTTATCCCAGGAATGCAAGGTTGGGTTCAATATACCAATATTATTCAATTCAATCATCTTTTTAATAGAACAAAAGAAAAACCCACATGATCAGCTCAATAGGTGCAGAAAAAGCATTTGAAAAAAAATTCAACATGCTTTAATGATAAAAAATACACACAAAAAACTAAGAATAGAAGGGAAATTCCTCAACCTAAAAAGGGCATTTACGAAACATTCGCTTAATTTTACACTTAATAGTCAAAGACCAAAAACTTTCCTCCTAATATCAGGAAAAGACAAGGATGTCCACGCCCACCAGTTCTTTAAACATTGAGCTGGAGGTTCTATCTAGGGTGATTAGGCAACGAAATGGAATAAAAGACATCTAGATAGGAAAGAAAGAAGTAAAACTATATTCGCATGTGACGTGACCTTATATATAAAAAATCCTCAGGAAGATACACACACACGAACTATTAGAACTAATAAACAGAGTTGCAGGATGCAGGATTAACATGCAAAAATCAACTGTATTTCTATAAACCGTCAATGAACAATCTGAAAGTGAAATTAAGAAGACAATTCCATTTACAATAGCATCAAAAACTACTTCGGAATACATTTAACAAAAGAAGTGCAAAATTGATACTCTAAAAATGACGACACATTGTTGAAAGGGATTAAAGAAGACCTAGGTAAATGGCAAGATATCTCCTGTCTGTGAATTGGAAAGCAAGCTATTGTTTAGATGGCAATACTGCCCAAATCAATCTACAGATTCGACATTCTCTCTATCAAAATCCCAGCCGGCTTCTTGGCAGAAATCGACTAGCCAATATTAATTTCATATGGAAAGGCAAGAGATCCAAAATAGACAAAACAATCTTGAAAAAGAATAACATGTTTGGAGGACTCACGCGTCCCAATTTAAAACTTACCACAAAGCTAGAATGAACACAATGGTGTACTCTGGCATAGGCTAAATATATCAATCGATAGAAAAGAATTTAGAGTTCAGAAATAAATCCTTATATTCATAGTCAATTGATTTTAAACAAGGGTGCTAAAAACATTCAATGTGGAAACATAAGTTTTCAACAAGTGGTACTTGGAAGACCGGGTATTCATGCAAAAGAATGAAACTGGACCCCTTACTTACATCGTATACAAAAATTAACTCCAAATCACTGAATGACTCAAATGTGAGGGCTAAAACTAATAGCCTAGTGCACTAAATAACTACAGTGTCCCCCCTTATCCACAGGGGACATGTTCCAAGACCCCCAGTGGATGCCTGAAACTGCAGATAGTACTGAACTCCATATATGTACTGTTTCTTGCTATACATACTTACTTTTTCACTTAAAGGAAGCACTTTACGACTTCTCTTTAGCATATCCAGATTGCCAGCATCACTACTTTTGCACTTCGGAACCATTAAGTAAAGTAAGGATTGCTCGGACACGAGCATTGTGATGCCGTGATAGTCAATTTGATAACTGAGACTGGCTACTAAGTGGCTACCGGGTGGGCAGCATGTACCCTGTGGACACACTGGACAAAGAACGATTCAGGTCCTGGGAGGCATGGAGTGGAACAGTGTGAGATTTCATCACACTTCTCAGAATGGCACACAATTCAAAACTTATGAATTGTTCATTCCTGGAATTTTCCATTTAATAGTTTCAGCCCACAGTAGACCACAGGTAACTGAAACTAGGGAAAACAAAACCACAGATAACGGGGGAACTACTGTCCTTAATTAACTACCTGGCTGACCCCCTACAAACACGTATTCCACGCCCCCTCTCTGCCAAGTTCTGTGCTAGACACGATGGCTGCCCACACGGGGTTTGCGGTCACTACATCAACACCTTCTGAACCTACTTCGGAGTCTTTCAAAACCACGAAAGCTTAGGTCTCTGATCTAAGAGGCCCTCTAAGAAGGCCCACAACTTTAAGAACGTCCCTAAAATTCAAGACATTTTGGAGACAGACAG